GCGGATTGTTATTCACTATCCGCTAGTCACGTTAAATCTAACGACGCTGCGCTCCCGCGTGCAAATATTCCCGGAATATTCGCTTCATTGCATCCCAGAGTGGGTGGTGGGTGGGGATTAAGGCCCTGTCAACTGTCCCCGGGTTTTGATAACGCCCTATGCTGGGTTATTGCCCACTGGAACACGCCCACATCCTGGCATGGTGATGCCAGTGATGGCAACTACATTATTTGATTACCAGCATTCACTAACTTTTAATTGCACAACACTGGGTAGTTTTTTATGTATTTGCGTGGAAAATCGGTTAGTAATAAATATTAACTTCACTATGTATTACGCAGAGTGATTGCTATTTCGAAAGACACCCCACACTAGATAATTCACTTTTTATATACAAATGAAGACATGTTTACACTAGGGACATTTGGATAAATAAAATTCTATTCCTGTGTACCAAAAACCATTTTATTAGCAGTGTTGTAATTGCGTGTTTATGGACACATGTTGAAATTTTTCTATTTGTTCTATGTCAAAGAAAAGTGTCTCAGGAAATCAGAGAATTTTGTTCACAGACACATTTTACTTGCCATTTATTTAATATGCAGTTCAAATGCCAAACAAAATGTGTGAATAAAAGAATGTTTGCAATACTAAAGAACTTAAAGCCTTTCAAATATTTATAAATTGAAACAAACTACCAGTCTTGGCCTAAACGCACATAATTCAGCTACACAAAGATCTAATTTCAATTTTATAGCCACATTTCATTTCGGTTTCCGAATGTTTGGCTATGCAGACGGGTCAGATATTCGTTTCATATGGAAATTAAATGGCAACAATAAACCAAATGCTTCGAACCGCAAAAAAGCTTGTTTATTTTGGGTTTCTTTTTTTTTTCGTTGACCGTTTTAATTCAATTAAAAATGTAAAATCGTTCGGCTCATTTTCCTGGGATTAGTGATTGATGTTTTGGCATTGCTGCGCAACTGACGCCCATGGATTTTCGCCGTCTTCCAGTTGGACTTTTAAAGTTGGCCAGAACTGACGGGATAATAGCCAAGTTAGACAACTCAGAACTTCGCGAAGCTGCTGCATATTGTCTGAAGTAATTTATAATATCACGACGTGACGTGCTTTTTGCCTGATAAATGAGCCGAATGTCGCCACGGAGTCAGTTTGCTAAATAATAAACTCTCGCCAGTCGAGCGGCGGGAAATAGGAATGCGGCGTTACAAAATATGGAGAGCCACGTTTGGCTGGAAAAAGTAATAGAATGGCTACGCTTCACCGGCTGGGATCAGCCCACTTTCCAACCCACTTTTCAACCCAGTTTCCATCCCATCCCATATAGCATCATCCCCCAGCAGGAGGACCCATTTTCTTCCGCCTTTCTAACTGTGCTTAAGCCGCAGCGTTTTGTTGTCGCACTTGCGCGCTTTAGTTTCGGAATTTTCCATCAAATCATCAACACTTCCCGCAGAAAGCGTGGCTCAACATTATTTATGCAGATTTTCTTTCCACTTTTTGCCCGCTTTTCCCCGGAAAACAAAAGGCAGGAGATAGTGGGCGCAACAAGCGTGTGAACTAGCGCCAGGCTATGTACATACATATTTCCCCAAAGTACAGTGGGACCAAATGGGCCATACTACGAATACAAAGTTTGAAAACTAGAGCGATAATAAGCCAAAGTATAAATTGATCAAAATAACATGCTATCGAACGCGGCACATTTATAATTGATTGTTCGTTTATAAGTCCAATGATAATTACAATAGGTAGACAATTCCCAATTCAATGTAATTCCCATAATTAAATTAGGCTTAGCTAATCGCCAAAGCATACAACTTTAAACCACTGTGCAACATAGCGGAAAACAAAATGCCATTAAGCTTAAGTTGAGCATAACATAAGAACAAAAGCATCTGATAACTGTTTGTGGAAATAAAAAACTCAAAGTCCCATAAAATAAAGTAGGAAAAACTCTTCGTATGCATAAACAATTTAATGCGTTCTCGGTGCGAGTGTTTGTGTGTGGCAATACAATACAATTTACACGCTTATTAATTTTTACAAGACTTTAACCGACACTTGAGCCAAACAGCAAACAACCGACAACAAAGGCAACAAAAACTGGAGCGAATGTTTTCGAATGTGTGTGAATGTTTGCAAACATTACACACACACACACAAACACACTTATACGCGCAGCGCACCTCTTCAAACAAAAATTCAACGTGGTTTTCGGGGCTATTATTATTATTCTTTCTATATATTTGGCTTTTTTTTTTTTTTTTTTGGTTGTTAATGCTTTATATTCCCTTTATTTGCGTGGGAGTAGTGGGGAAAAAAAGAAGAAAAGGGGTTTTTTCTCTGTTGCCGTGGCAACTTTGCTCCATAAAGTTTTTGGCACCCATTGCGAGCGGGAAAGTTTGGGATAAAAATATATAAGCCACAATTTTAGCATGCAAAATATGGCCAGAAGGAATTTCTATTTTTATTTATTTTCTAATATCACAACTTTTCGACACACGAAAAGCAGCACAGCGGAGTATGTGGCAAGCCGAAGAACAAGCAAGGCCCTTCAGGGCTTTCTGTCATATGTGGAAATACATTTTCAGTGCACATGCACTGCAAGAAAAGATGTTAGCCAACTCAAAATATGGCAGTCCTCTTAGCTGAGCTGTTAAGTTAACAAAACTATGCTGAACTGAAATCTACAGATGTTTTAAAGTAAACACCCCCAACATTTGAACAATAATATAAAACTAGTGTTGTTCCCAAATGAATTCTATTGACTGCCAATGAAAATTAAACAAAGTCGTGGAACTATCTGCAACTATACCATAACATTTAATAGATATTTGACTTGTCGGAATAGATGAATTTCTTAGGTTAGGAGAATATTAGAAAGTTATTATAAGATATTATTTTTCTTCCAGTGTAGACACGCCCTCTTTGCGCCGAGTCCTTGCATGCTTTGCTCCAGGTTTTCGGGTCCTTGGGATGGGGAGTGACCAACAAGTTGGCAGGATCAGATGGCAGGAAGCACACGAGCACACGCGCTCCAAAAGTGCATGTGTAATTGGGAATAACGAGATATAAGTTTGAAGCAAACGCCAAAGGTGAAATGCGAACGAAAAGGGGAGAGGAAGGGGAAATGCATAAGGAAATGGCACGGCCTAGGGAAGATGGAAAATGGAAGTGGGAAAACTCCTGCGACGACGACAAATAGCCGGCTTTTCAAAAGTTTTGGCCAAACCGAAAAGAAAGCAGTTTCTAAGGTTGAACGAGTGACGAAAGCTTCACACACCCACCGAAACGAAAATCTTTTTTGAAAACTTACGGTCTGCGTGGACGAAAAACTGCGTTCGCGCGTATGTGTTCGTTTTCTTTTGCCAACAAATTTCTCGAATTTTAAATTAATTAAAGTTTTGCGGAATTGTAAAAGTTTGCTCCTAGAGTTTGTGCGTAGCAAATAAAAGATAATTAACGAGAATCGGATTCCAGAAGGCGTTCAGCAAAATCTCTCGTTTGTGGAGTAATTTGTATTGAAAAGTATTACTAAAGGCATGGTATAAAAGTTGGGCGATTACTCTTCTTAGTATCACTTTAAGTGGTGCACCAAAGTATGCTGTAAAAATATCATTCGTAAGACTATAGAACATTGCCATGAATCCGTAAAATTGCTCTAGTCTTTGATGTCTGCCATTGTTTTGAGAGGCAGCCGCTTAGTGAAGGCGTTCTATGTTAGCCCGAATTTATACAAAACTGTATGAAGCCCTCTACGGCCTTTAAGCTTTTTAAGTTCACTCAGCTCGACTCGTAGCAGCATACATAGTAATTTTTTTGTGCACTTTAGTCTCCTATCTGTTGCCAGTTGATATCGCTCCGCTTTTCTGTGTCTATCATCCTGGCCTGGGCCACCTCGCTTCCGCTCATATGTCGGAGCTGGGAAAGTTGAGAATTTAAAGGAATTATAAGTACTCGAGCGTCTGACACGTCGGCCGCACTTGGGAGACTTGCCCGGGACTTGGCAGTTGGCAGTTGTCAAGTGTGCTCCGGCCACTCACTGTTCCTCACTACCCTCTTCACCCACTCCACCCTCTCAACCCGTTCAATCCCCTCTTGCCAACCCGATTTTCCTGCCAACGGGCGGAAAACCCAGTGACGAATGTCGCCTGAAACTCATATGCACTCCAGCTCCTTAAGGGCGAATAGTTTGAGGGATTTGCAGCCAGTGTGTGGGCAATTACAGTCAAACTTCCCTGTGTTGGGAAATTGATAACCTTGCCATTCAACTGGAAAGTTGTTAAATATGAATTTCAATTCTTGTCAGGTATGCAAATCACAAGGAATCCCAAGTAAACATTGTATTGAAGATTTAACATAGTTTCTCCTTAGTTTTCATATGAGCAAGTTTTTGACATAGAAGATATTGGAATGTAAAAAGAGCACACACATTAAATCCTTTTACTATTTATTATTATACAAATCAACTTTAAATATATTACTTGAAATAATTTAATTATTTTTAAATTTTGAAATAAAGTGCTGCGTGCACAACTTGATGGTTATGTCTATTGTACTTGGTTTAATAATGGATATGGAATTTTTCTGTACTTGGAAGCACTCTGATTCTCTGGGAAAACATCTGGTAAATGTCTTGTGTGTAAGACGCTTACTCCACTCCCTCCGCCTCTCTTTAGGTGCCCCTTCCCCCTCCTGCCCTGCCTCTTGTCCCCCTGGGAGTCACGTTCATATGTCATATTGAAAAGGAAAAGAACAAATGTATCGTGGATGATTTCTAATCAAATATATCATGTGTTCCATCGCCCTGCCAGGGAAATTGTGTTTGCACTTTTCTTTCCTCTGGGCTTCTCCTCAGTTCAGTTCAGTTCTTTTCGTTTTCGTTGTGGTATTTTTTATTTATTCGTTATTCGTTTTTTGTTTGTGATGCGAGGTGATTAATTATATTTCCATGTTTGCCGTTCCATCTGCAGGTATGACGGAGGAAATAACCGGCGATTGGAGCTACTACGTGTATATATCGCTGACGCTGGTTCCAGTCTATTTGGCATTTCGGCTCATTAAGTCACTGGGCTGGCAGCTCTTCGTCAACAACTGAGCAAACATCTGTGACCCGAAACTGAAGCTGAAGCTGGAGCTATATATGTGGCTCAAACTGAAACTGAAGTTGCAGCCGTCATCAGGGGAATCCGTCGTCGTGGGAAAAGGAATAGTCGAGCGGCCAAAGTCGTTGAGGTGCGTAGTCACTTGAGGTTGCCAGTCAGAAGCGGTCGAGTGCCGAAAGTCGAGTGTCGATAGTCGAGTGCCAAACATTCAAAGTTGCAGCGAATACCAGCGAAAAGGAAGGTGGGCTTACTTTCGAAAACCGATGTGGAAATGCCCTGCGATTCGCATGAAAAAAATTTATAACACTACGCTCTAAAGTATTTAGTTATGGCAGTTAAATGAACTAACACAATAATTGTGACCATAAAATAGCTTGCAGTAACCTAAAGAAACGGAAAATATTGGTTTGAATAGTTACGAAAGTTAGATTTAATTTCAAAAATAAAAAAGATTGGTTAACTCTTTGGGCCACAAATTCAAGTAAAAGTGTGCCCACATCAGTGCTGCAATCTGTTTGCTATAGCGATATTTCCCCGTAAACCTAAGAGCATCGAATATCTTGGCGGCAAACAATAATTCGTGGCAAACCATTTAAATATGCCTAACGTAGTCTTTGCTTTTTCCGTTGCAGCGTGCTATCAGTGTATATATATTTTGTAAGAATGCAATAAATGGAAAGCCAGGACTAGAAGACGGCAGCACGAGAAGAGTGGTATAAAGGGGAACCTGCAGCAGCTGCTAGGATTGCCAGGACTGTCAGGACAGCAAGGACTGCCAGGATCGTGTTGTGTTGTGCTGCGTTGTTGGCCAAGCCGCGTTGTTGTTGCTGCTTCTGGCTGGCCAAAAAGGAGCAAACAAAAGGCGAGGCGATGCAAAGCAATCAACGTCATAAGCAGGAGCAGCAGCAGGACCAGAACCAGAACCAGCACCACAAACAGAAACAGGAACAGAGACCAGAACACATACCGGAACAGGACCACCAAGACCGTGGACGGAGTTATTGTGGTGGCACCGCCAAGCCGCCGCCGCATCAGCATCAGTATCCTGCACTATAGGCACATCACCGCCGGCCCGTCCACCCACCACCACCACCACCATCACATCCTCCCGATATTCCTCCCTCCGCATCCTTGGCAAACAAGTGGAGCTGGCATCACAAGGAGCAACACGGCAACGGGGCACTAGGAACTGCTACAGCAAAAGCCAAAGCAAAACTCTCGCTTTGAGGACCTCAAGAAAACCAATTTACATATTTAAGCTTTGGGCAAACGTAGAGCGGAGTAGCAACTAGACGCAATCAATAGGAGCTGGGAAAAAAAGCGTGGAGTGAGCGCCTTCGGGGAGAAGGCAACACAAGACACCAGAACAGATCAGATTAGACCAGGCCTGACTAGACCACATCATCGTCATCGTCATCCGCCGAATCAAAGGCCAGTTATCTGCGACACCCGCACCACCGCCAGAATGCGACTGCCATACCGAAATAAGAAGGTCACCCTGTGGGTGCTCTTCGGCATCATCGTCATCACCATGTTCCTATTCAAATTCACCGAACTGCGGCCAACATGCCTCTTCAAGGTGGACGCCACCAACGAGCTCTCCTCCCAAATGGTTCGCGTTGAGGTATGTATCCCCAAATCGAACACAATCTGTTTGCCCCACACCCAACCACCATATCCATCCCACATCCTTTCCGTTACGGGAAAAAAGAAAGAAATTGGAAAAGCACACATAGTCACACACCCGAACATCAACTTCCTTTGCTCCAAGATGCGTCGCAAAAATGTAGGGATGTGAGTAAGAAATATTTAAATTCAATCAAATGGTAAAAGGGCTGATATACCTGGCAAACAATCAGTTCCTCACAGATTCTAGGCTTGCCTTATTTGATAATCCATTTTTGATTCCGAAATCAGTCGGATATTGAGCACTTCAATTCAAACATGATGGGTTATTTGAATTTCTCTAGGCGAATTTTACCCATTACAGAACATCGCTAAAGGGGAATTCTATTTCGATTCGGGATAAAAGGAGGGACTTCAGGCATTTAAAGAGAGCCATTGTTATATCCAAATTACCTCTATTTATGAATTCTCCCCCAACCAACTTTCGATTTCCATGTAGCCCATAGAGCTCCACATTTGTGTGAAGCACTGTAGCGTCCACTCCCCTCGTGCTGACCAAGCCAAACAAAAACATTTGCAATGATAAATCAAAGGAAAAAATGCATGGGAGTAGAACCTTAGCTGGATAACTAATTTCATGTTGGCTGAGCAGAGCACAGATGAAAATCCTGCCACACCCACACCCCCCGGCAAAGACCAGCCGCACACGCAAAACCAAAGCAAAAGTCATTCAGGGAATTTAACTGGTTATCGGATGACCGAACACGATTTTGTAAACATTAGTCGAGACCAAAATGGTCTCGTTGGAGTTGAAATGGGCGATAGTAGGTGTAGTAGTATCCATTGATTAGCATTGGGAATATCGAAGGCTGAGGTCATAAGCAGCTTTGGCCATGTTGGTATGTTGGGATGTTGGGAGCCAGGAGATGACTCCACAAATGGAAGACAATGCGTCCGACATGCGTGCACCGAGATGGTCAAATCATTTCCACAGAGCATTAACACATCCTTGGTTTTACACATGAAAGGGGCTTTAATTCCGGGGATTTTGTGGATCCAATTATGGGAGTTGTGGAGCCATGGCTTAATTCGGCTATCATGTAGCATGCACATGCATAATCATTTGGACCCATCGATTTATATTGCGTTGTATTAAATTCAATGCACACAGCAATAGCACCAGAAATTCATCTTATTTATTGGGAACAGCCAAAACAAATAGAATAAATTAATGCAAAAGTCCATGTATTCGGGTAATTAAGGAACGAAATAAATATATGCTTTAATTCCGCACTTTTGTGCTGCCAAATATGGAAAATCTGGGCATCCCAGACATAAATTGCCATCCAGCGATTTCCAAATATGAAATCAAAACGTGACTTAATTAACCGTCTCAAATTGGCTGACGTGCAACACAGAAACCCATATTAATAGTAATCCAGGGATTAAATTGTTCACCGCCCAACCAAGTAGTACATTTATAAACAAAGCGCTTCGAACAATGGACTTAAATTTCATAGACTTTAGTTCAGCATACTAATGAGCCAAAGTGATTGATAATTTAATCCATCTTTACTTTACAGAAGCAAAAATCAATGTTGTAGTTTAATTGGGATGTGTAAAAGCTCCACTTTAAGTTGATTTCATTTGTTATCAGCGTATTAAATATGCTTCTTCCAATTTCTTTTATCTTATTAAACACTTTGCTATTTTGTATCTTAAATAGCGCTAGGCTACTTTTATCACATTTCTAATTGAATGCTTATGATTTATGGAAGTCGATCGATTTCCCATTAGGCGGGTAAAAAACCCCATCGCTGTTTTCCTTTGATAAGGTCCCAATTTATCACATAGCTTTTGGGCTACAGAAAGATAAGGTTCGGCCCCTTTTTGGGGCTCCATATGGATAGCTCGCATCTATTTTTAGTAATGCCCATCACCTGTCGCCTTCATTTTGTATGTCTTCTGACGCTAATGCCCACGAAGGCGTTGACACCTGCGCTTATTCAACCAAGAAGCCATCACCCACAATCCGGCTGATTCTAGTTCCCCGTTCCCAGCTCCACTCCGCATTATCATTATTATAATACAAATAATAATCATCATAATAATCATCATGGCCATCAGCAGGAGCCATGCCATTTATTTTACGCCTGCAACTTTTCTCTAATTTCATTCCTCCTCTTTTTTTGTTTTTTGTCTTGTCTCCACCACCTACACATTGACGTCGCGGATGCGGATGCGGATGCGAAACCCCGGACACGGTTACGGTTACGGATGCGGATGCGGAATACGGACACGTTCAGAAATACCTCACAGATGACAATCAACGCGTTTATTCATACAACCGTGAGATGCCATTAATATTCATAGGCGGCGTGCCCAGATCTGGGACGACTTTGATGCGCGCCATGCTGGATGCCCATCCCGATGTGCGGTAAGTCGTGCTCCTCTGCTTCTCTGCTCCCTACTCCCGAATCCTGGAGTCCTGAATCCCGAAGCCTGGATACTGGATAACCGGATAATACCCTTTTCCACTACCCGGCGACTGTTCGATTTGATTGTTTGCCACAATGCCGCGGTCTCCGGGGCGAATGCTTCACTTCCTTCCTTCCTTCCTTCGCTCCTTGCATTCCCGGGAGACGGTGGAGAAGTCTTGCACATATCGGATATCAAAGGCGATTTATTGGTTTGCCATTGGACACGAAAAGGGTTGTATGGTGATGTGTAAAGGGTTTCAAGATGTTACAGCTTTATATGCTAATTCATAGTTAATCACTTGATCAGTTGTTCTTCCATATTTCTTGTTTTTAAAATATTAAATAACTTTTTCAAGGGTATCAAAATCGTTCAATTCCATTTAAATGCAACCACCGTTTTTATTTTGTTTAAGAACTCGAAATCAATGCTGTCAATTCAATTAACATATAATTTTCACCGAAGGAAACTCAATTTAAAGTTTGCCCTGTGTCACATTGCGTGGGAGAAGTCCTCTTCCTTGCTTCGAGTTGTTGTGAACTTTGACATATCACAAATCTTTAATATTCAAGCAGGTCTTTTGTAATATTCGGCTTTAGCATGGTTTTATTTTTCTTCTTTGTGACAAAACGACATTTTCAAAATGGAATTTTCATGGAAAATGCATTCCAACGCCATGACTGCCGTAATTTAGTAGGAATTTTCATTTCCTAAAATTGCGTGGAAAAGTTCGAAAAACTGATTCCACTTTAGTAGTATAGATATTTCACACGTATTGCATATCACAATCATTTTATTTGTTTGGCTTTGTTTGAGCTCATCTCGTTTACTTTCAATTAAGTGCTCTGCTTTCTTTTGATTTAATACTAATGTTTGGGCTTACATTTTAATATATTATAAATGTAGTGTTTTTATGTTTATTTAAAAGTTTGAGTCGTTTGCCCTAATATCGTGTTGAAATTTTGTAATATATCTATCCGAAATGGCAATTTCCTACACCTTGACATCTCATCAAAAGTTTGTTTACCATATTTTCCAAATCCTTTCAGCCATGAAATCTGCTAACCAAATTTCACACACTGAGTAGAATCAAACATTTGCTCCGATGATGCCTTGGAAGAACATTCGAATTCCAAATAATTTCCTCTTCCGTTTTCGGGGGACCTTTTCTGCTCGGCTTTTTGCACTGCACCATAAAGTGTATTTCCACACCGCCCTATGGGGAAAATGTACATTTTAATATATACCTTTTTGGGGCGGTGCTCGGTCGTTTCAGCTCCCCAATTTCAATCTTCCACCTCCTGCAGCCAGCCAGCCAGCCGAACCAATTCGATATATTCCGTTTCTGCCCTTTGGCAATTTTAATATTTTTTTTACTCTTCATTCTGGTTTGCCTCCATTTGCGTATCTGTTTGTATCTGGTCCGGGCTTTATCATTCTGGGCATACCTTCCGGCTGCTGCGATATACATATTATCATAATAATTTTTTTAAGTCTTCCTTACGCATGAGTAATTAGTCACGAAGTTTGGCGCAATCTGAAAATGAGAAATGGTCAAGAGGCAAGAGGCAGAAGGGTTCGTTCGGGTACAAGTTTTTTGTTAGCCCCTTATTTTATTAACAATTTGCCATCTTACCCGGCCCATTTCCATCCTGTCGTCCCATCGCATCCGTGGCCTATCCTCTATCCTGCGTCCTGGATCCTGACATCAGGATGCTGGGATGCTGGGATGCCTGGTAGCCTCACTGCCAGCCAGGCTGGCAGGCAGTCGGGTTCGCTTTTTCTGATGGCTGCACAGCGCAATTTCCGCTATTTAAAAACCGACTTCCCTTTCCCTCAAGGATCTCACGGATTTTAGTTACAGAATGGGTCCTCGTCCTTTGTTCGCCTTTGCAGGACTCCAAAAACGTGGGCGGTGCAAAGTGTAAAACTTTCCTAAGCGTATGTGGAGTAGGTCACCCTCGTTTCCTCTCACCCTCTCACCCTGTGGCCCAACATCCCCTACTGGTTTCCAGATTAAATCTGGTTTAGTATTTGTAGCATTTAGCATTTAGACTTGGCATCAACTAATTGAGTCTGGGGTAAGCCCCGAAACAATTTTGTGGGATTTGCATGGCGTTGGTATTGGAATACGGATAGGTATAGGGATATGGATAGGGGCAGTGGGATACCCGCCGAGATGGAGGGCTCCCATGCCGAGGTGCGAACAAATGTAATTGGTTGGGGCCAGATAAAGTTGTGGCCCCAATTTAGATGGTGCAAAATGGGTGACTCCATGTTTTCGGGCTATTAAATTGCGGTTTTAATGGCATTTTTTTGAGGGAAGCTTTTGAAAATTCAGGCCGAAAATAATGTTGCGTGATTTAGGATTGACAGCTTGGTGTCACAAAACTAAATTCTTATTTCTCTTCTTAAATTATTAGATTATTCAAGAGGCAACTAACCTTTACAGGTAACAGGGTTTTTTCTATTTTTTCAAAATAGTTTTGAACTGTAACCAAAGCAAGTAAAAACTCCAGTTATTTTGACTACGTTTCTTAGTAATTGCAAACACGTTCGCTTACAGATAACAAATTTAATTAACAAACAGATAATACAAGTTGACTTACAACTTAAAAATATGTTAAATTAAAATGATAAGTTGACAAGGAAACAGCGCAATAACTTTAAGTGCTGACAGAAATTCTGCACAATAAGTGGAATGCAGCAAGATAGGGTATTAGTAGAATATTAGTAATATAGATTATCGTGATTAGATAAATTACACTTGAAACAAGCTGTAATTGCTTACACTATTGCTCAATTTCATTCAATTAAAAAGGGCAATTAAGTTTGATTTAATTGCTCCCAAAAATGTGCGGTCATACAGATGAAATGAAATATTTGATTGTGATCTTTGAAATTAAGGAGCAATGAATAACATTTAGTAATTAGTTTATTGGTGGCCACTACCAAAGACACTAGAATAATAAGACGCGTAACGCCATACGATTTTTGATCTTGCCATACGATGCCAATTTGATCTTGCAAGTAATCACACTTCCGGTAAGAGAGATTATTTGAACTATTTTGACTCGAAATTAGAAGACATGACATACAGTCCTCACTAGAACTAGTTGGGAATTATAGGGCTACAAGAAAATATTTTTCCTAAACAAAAATCTATATTATTTGCACTCTGGCAATCGAGTACAAAGTACTCGTTAGTAAAAAGTAAAAACTCGAATTTTGGATTGCCTTAATATGATAATTATTTAATTACCGTGCACTCTGCCGAAAATCGTCTTCTAGCACAACTTTTTTGTTTACTGTTTTCACTCACACACACAGTGAATTCTATTTCTAGAATGTATGGCCGTTACGCATCTTATTATTCCAGTGTATTTGCCACTACCGTCTAATATACGTATATTTTATAATTTCATATGGATCTTACGCACTTCATTGGGCTACAAGAATAGTTGAATAAACAAGGCTTGATCGACTTTGATTACTCTCCTTTGGGATCATAAGTTCGAGTTGCTTTCTGCAGTGTGCGATATTTATGATAATTTTCGCAATCAGGCAGTCATTTTTTGTGTGTGCTCTGAACTTGATTACGGAGCACTGCCGGCGGAAAATTCTAGAGCGGCAAACGAATCGTTTGAAGCCCTTCATAGTTCAGTGGTTTCATCAGTCCTGGAAATCGGAGCGGGGCACACAGAGGAGAGGACTCAAATGGGAGTTATGCACCAGACATAGAATCGCGACGGGGGCTTCCACCTCCACATCCGCTGAAGGGTAACCCAAAGAGCTAACAGCGGATGGCATACCATTTCGTTTTGTCGATTGCATTAGAAGAGCAGGAAGAGGAGGAGGAGGAGGAGGTGGAGGTTGCACAATGGAAGTGGAACCACCATCACATGTTGCCTAGCTGTACCAAACTAGAATATTGCGGCGTCACTCTACTAAAGTGGAGCTTCACTTGATTTTCATTAAAATGATTTATTATGTAAAGCTAATGTTAGTCAAACTCTATGAACGAGTTATACTTAAAGATGTCTACTTTAGCCAAATAGTTAGATTAAGTAAGATGGTATACATTTCCTGAAATGCTACCAAGTTAAGAGTGTTTAAGTAAGGGAGCGATATAAACAAATGCAGCATTGATATGAGCACAATACTGCTAACAATCCTGCGAGCATCCAAGCATCCATTTGCAGTCCATTTTTTGCCCCAACTGTCAGGTTAGATTTTGAAATCCATAGAACCAACATGGACAACAATGCACCCTATCCACGTGAACAGAAGCTGCCCCGCAGCCACTATTCCGCCGCTTTGTGTGTATATATTCTCATCTGTATATTTTGTTTGCTTTTTGGAATCCTTGCAGCTGCGGGCAGGAAACCCGCGTCATTCCGCGCATCCTGCAGCTGCGCTCGCACTGGCTGAAGTCCGAGAAGGAGTCGCTCCGCCTGCAGGAGGCCGGCATCACCAAAGAGGTCATGAACAGTGCCATCGCGCAGTTCTGTCTGGAAATCATCGCCAAGCATGGCGAGCCGGCGCCGCGTTTATGCAACAAGGATCCGCTGACGCTGAAAATGGGCTCCTATGTCATCGAGCTATTTCCGAACGTAAGCACTCGCAGCGATACAATTTCCGCATCCTTCGTATCCTTCGCATCCTCCGCATCCTCCGCATCCTCCGCATCCTCCGCATCCTGTACAAGCATCCACACCCGGAGCATAAAAAACATAACCATATCAGTAATGCAATACCATTTTCATTTACCATATCTGAGTCGGGCATTAAAGCCATCTTCGCTGCTGTCACAGAAATATCTCTTTTAATGGAAATTAACTGGGGTGGAACGGCTAGCAAGGATAGCAAAAGATATTTCATTTAACATGTTGGGCTGTCCCGCCAACCGATTTTAAATCTCATCGGGCTTATAACTCTGATGTGATATACTGTGATTAAGTGTTATATTTATATCTAGCATAAAAGCACATAAGCGCATATATCAAAATGAAAATGTTAAATGCATTAAAAGCATTCATTTGGAATAATGTCATTTAATGATGTGCATATACATGACTGTTAATATTTAAATACTTATTTTATTCGATGTATTCAGAGTGTTAATACTTTTTCCGGTTGCACCTGTTACCCGTTTTTCTGGTCGTTACAGGCTAAATTCCTATTCATGGTGCGCGACGGCCGAGCGACAGTTCATTCGATTATATCGCGCAAGGTGACAATCACCGGCTTCGATTTGAGCAGCTACAGGCAGTGCATGCAGAAGTGGAACCACGCCATCGAGGTGATGCACGAGCAGTGCCGGGACATCGGCAAGGAGCGCTGCATGATGGTGAGTCCTGGCCACCCAGTCACCCAGTAGCCAGATGCTCACATGCCCACCTGGCCACCTGGCCACCCATCTCAATCAACTATGATTAACTTGGTCGGGGTGCTGCAGTCTGGCACAGGAAATTAAGCGAGCTGACTTTTAAATTCCGTTGATGGCGGGTCCTAAAAACATTGTATATTTAAATGTTGTATGCAACATTTAAAGTGTTAAGTATTTGTAGTGCATTTTCAAACCATTTAAGTAAGTTCTTTCCGTAACAAAATTTCAGTTTTTTGTCGTAACAATGGAAATAATAATAATAGTCAAAATGGGGAAGCTCGTAACTCAATTCCCAATTGATGTTACAAAAATGCGAAAGCTTACCGAAAAAAACATAAATCCATCAAAAAGTGATAGGAATAGTTAGCATTGGCCCCTTTCAGCTTATCGCCAAAAAGTATCAGTATAGCAATTTAAAAAATGTATTTCGATCTCTGCCAGGTGTACTATGAGCAGCTGGTCCTGCATCCTGAGGAATGGATGCGAAAGATACTTAAATTCCTGGACGTGCCATGGAACGATGCGGTGCTGCACCACGAGGAGTTCATAAACAAGCCGAACGGAGTGCCGCTGTCCAAGTAAGTGGGAATCGTTAAATTGCGAACGGAGTGAATCCATAATTCAACATTGAACCCAATCGCAGGGTGGAGCGTTCGTCGGACCAGGTTATCAAACCGGTTAATCTGGAGGCGATGTCCAAATGGGTTGGCCAAATACCCGGCGACGTGGTGCGCGACATGGCCGACATAGCGCCCATGCTGTCCGTGCTCGGCTACGATCCGTACGCGAATCCGCCGGACTATGGTAAGCCAGATGCATGGGTGCAGGACAACACGTCGAAGGTAAGGTGCAACCCCACCGGTTCTCGAATGCAAAACAAACTCAAAACACTCCCAAACAGCAACTTTTTCATGTTACCACTTCACCAAATCATCCCAGCACGCCAGTGATGCCAATATTCCTTGTTTTCCTTCTGATTTTTCGACCACTTTTTAAATTACCAGTCGCGCATTCATATTTAAATAAGCTGGCATCCAAAATGTAGATTTTAAAACTGGCCTAGTATTTATTATTTGAATTCACGCTTACACCCAAATGCAAAATTACAATTTAAATTATATTTATGGCTAACTCTGCGCCCATACGTTTTTGACCTTTAAAATAAAAAAGTATTGCACAAATATTTACATGGAGATTGAGCTTAAGGAGGCATGCTTCCCAATTTAGGGCTCTTAAGATACTTCCATTGGCATCACCGCTGTCAAGCGCAGGCAATTTCACTCTATCCCTATTACACCAAACCACCACCCACTAGAATCCATTTTCGTGTCCTTTGTTTTTGTTGCTTGTCATTTTCACAGGCTCTTGTTATCTTTCACCTTTCACTTTGGCTCTGGGCCGTTGCCGCTGCCGCTACCTGTGTCATTGGCATTTTTTGCACTTCCCTGCATATCCCATACGCACCGTATACCCTACCTCCCCGGACATCAAAAAACCCGCCCACTTACATCACACACATTGTGCAACTCTTTTTTTTTTTTTTTTTTTTTTTAACCTTCTACTCGATTGCGTTCTGTATGTGCGATTTGTGTTTTGCTTGTTTGTTTTGCACTGTTTTGCACTTCGCCTTCTCGTTTGTTGGTTGCACCTAGCGCTTTTACTTTATATTTGGTTTTTTTTCTCCCTTTTTTGTATTGTTCCTTTCCAGCTACTTTGATTCATATATGTATGCATTGGTTGGGGTACAAAGCCATAAAACTGAAAGGAATACCATTGATCACAATGATGATGTGGGTTTGATGGTCGCTTGGTGGCGCCATCTGTGATAGTACGCACTTTGTGCGCTTATAGATGGAAAAACTTTGATGTTCTGCATTTTTTTCAACCCCCGGAATATATATGGAGTACATATGAATTTAATCGAAATAGAGTAGTCTATCGAGGTCATCGCGAAAAAATGTTGCAGTTTTTTCTTACCTCAAAGGTGCAAAGTATCGGGGAAAAATGCAATTTCATTATTTATTTAACACTTTCCGCTGCTTTATATTTTACCAATTAATGTTTTTTGCACGCATTTTTATGAGATTTGACATTAATTTTTCTTCGTTTATGCCATCTATAGTTGCAAGAGTTGATTTCATTATTTATTTATCACGTTTCCAAGGGACACTGCAGCATTCAACAACAAATTAAATAATTTCAATGAAATAAGTTGTATTTTTTGAGCAGATTTCCATAAATAGTACATTTTACTAAGAACTCACCTTTGATTGGCTATCTTATCAGATGTATGATGAGTGAAGTTAAGTTCTTTGCTGCCTAGTGATTTTAATTAGACTATAATTGGTTTTAATGATTTGACCAGGGATTCAAAGCTTTTCCCAGCTCCTTCCCTTTTCAGTTAGTGGTTACAGGGCTAACAGCTGTCGCCCCCGGCCGGCCAAGGGAATTCGCAACTATCGTTTAATTAAAATTTTGGGTTAACTTGGTCATTTTTACAGACCTTTCACCCCCTGTCTTACCAGCTGCCTCCTCTTTTTTTATCCCTCCCGTCGGCAACTGGTATCTCTGTTTGCAAGTGCATCCTGCTGAGTTATGTCCGCCGCAGCGAAGCGTTAAATTAGCTGCTAATTAATTAGTCCACTCCTCGTTACTCCGGGCCACTCGACTGGAGTGGCGTTGAGTTAACTCAAGTTCAGCTATCTGCGCGCTGATTTACACCTCCTTTTTTCTCCAGCATATATTTGTTTGTTCTGCCTCCCGACTTGAGCACTATAGTATACTTAATCATAAATTGTGAATTCCAAGAGAATAATATAAAGCGAGCAGCAGTATTTCTTTCAATATTATTTAAAAACCAAAAAAATAAACTATAAGTTCCAGTAATCACTTGAAAAAAGGCAGCAAAACAGTTACAAGAGAGATGAAACATTCTTAAACGCCTTTGATAAAAAACTGCAACAAAATTAACTTCGGCTTGTTGAATTGAACACTCTTTCTTTTTCATTTTTCATTTGGGTGTAATGCGTCTGATATTTCAATGCAACAATGTAAAAAATGCAAATTTTCACTCGATTTGCTGCACCTAGGCTGAAAGATTTATATTTTTTTTGCGGAGCAAGTGGTTCTTTTTTTTATGATGTCCCACGATTTTTGTGCTTTTTTATTGGCCTGTCACAGGGGCACTTTCTGTTTGACAGTTGCAATTGCAATGTTTCCGCGCTGCTGCCAGTGGGCTGTCGGTGGGCGGCATCTGGGGAGGGGGCGTGGTTGTGGCTTGATGGCATAAGTGGCCATTTATACATGCACGCCACCGGCAGACGGGATGGCGAAATGGGGAGCCAGGTGGGGGATAAATGTTCAGGGGAGCCGGACAAAGTTAAGTCAACTTTCGCAATCCCCGCCAGCTTGACAGGCATCCGATCCCATACCACTCCACCCCATCCCATCCCGATTCCAATCCCTTTTTTCAGTAGTGATGGGTCACTGGTCAGTTATCCCATTTCCCGGATGCCACGCAACGTGCCACGCAATTAATATCAATTGAAAGTCCGGCAATTTCATTATATTCCTTAATTTATGTTAATGGCAAATATTTTAATTAATTGACGGCTCTGTGCCGCAGCCCCTTGCCATTCGGTTTATTGGAAAAGAGGTGTCTGCAAACATTAAATATTTTAAATATATTTACATATTTAATATTTATACAAACATTAATAAGCGAGCGGTGGCAGTTGCGTTGCGTTGCAGCCGGGAAATTAAAATCAAACAACGAAATGTTAATACCCTGTGGTGGATGGGAAAGGAAAAAGGGAATATAGCAACTGAGTCGTAAGGAAAACCCGCACAAAGAAGGAAAATGTTGTGAAAATTACGCTCACGTTGTAAAAACAAGAGGTTTTGTTCAGCAGCATTTGTACAGCGAAAGATAAACAGAAATCAAATGGAAATCTAAAATATTTAACAACGAACAGAATGCACGAATTAAACGAATTTCAATTGTTTCCAAACAGAATTTGCGTAGAACGTGAAGGGTGCGTAAAAATGTCATTAAAGCTAATGAGCTGCGAAGATAGCTTCTAAGAATAGGAGAAACTACGTTCACATTATACAGCAAAGAGGTAAATTATACTTCTTGGTTGTAGAGAACGCATATTAAATTATATTTTTATAACAATCCTAAATTAATGTTACTTGATACTTCTAAAGGTTCTACCAACATATGATATCTTGTCATTTTGAGTTCGCTTTAAGGAACTCATGCTAAAGGAAAAATTGCTTTGGAGAATACAGTGCAAAAATAGATTTCTTGCACATTTTAAGTGCGGCTGACAAAAATACATAAAACAGAAATAAGAGCCCAAGTCAGTTAAGGAATTTCCATAACTGTTGTTCTTGCGCTTTAATTTGCACAACTGCGACGTCGCAAAGTTGAACACCAAATTGTTGTGCTACCAAAGTTTTCGCTTTGACAGGCACTCAAACGTTTTGGCAGTTAAAAAAGGGGGCAGATGTTTGCATATGCTGCATGCCACATACTGCCGCAGTTGCAACAGCAACATCAGCCGTAATGAGGAGGCCATTGGCAACAGCTGCAATTGCACGGGAAATACACGATTTGCAGGGCTACGAGTCGTATACTCGTACATGGGTTTATTCACGCACAAGTGCGTCCATTATGAGTGGTTTAATTTGAATACGCATTTGGTTCTGTCTACTTTCAGTTAAAGGCCAATCGAATGCTGTGGGAGAGTAAGGCGAAACAAGTGTTGCAGATGTCATCCAGCGAGGATGACAACACGAACACCGTCATCAACAATAGCAACAATAAGGATAACAACAATAATCAGTACACAATCAATAAAATTATACCAGAGCAACGCGGCAGACAGCGGCAACATGTACAGCAGCAACATCTGCAGCAGCAGCAGCATTTGCAACAGCAGCAACAGCAGCAACATGAGCGGCAGCAGCAGCATCAACGGCAGCAGCAGCATCAACGGGTGGAGGAGAGCGAGTCGGAAAGGGAAAGGGAAACGGAACCGGATCGAAAACAACAATTGTTGCATCAAAAGCCAAAGGATGTCATTACGATAAAGCAGCTGCCATTAGCCGGCAGTAACAATAACAACATCAACATCAACAATAACATCAACCACAACAACATGGAGGACCCCATGGCGGATACATGATATCCGCATATACCTATAAGACTGCCGCGTGGCAAGCATTGAACCTGGGTAACTCTCTTGGCTGCCGATTAGGACAACGATAATGATAACTGTTGCTGCTGCTGCTGCTGCAAGAAATCAATTTTAAATTGTATTAGCTTGATATGTGTATATGCATATGATGTACTTATATTAATGCTTTGTGAAGTTACCAAAAATAGCAGAAAAGCAAGCAATTAACAAACAAAAGAAAAGTAGTTACACTCTTAAGATCGTTTCGTGACGAAAAAACTTAAAGTTGCAGGGAGAAATGCCAATTTAAAAGCCAACCTCGCTCTGCGCCCTTTAATTCGTAGTAATTTAATTTATGCCTTAATATCTCTTAACTGGATTTACCTTAATGCGGACTGGGCGTTGAATTATTATATTTATTGTGCAATGAATTGCTACATTTGGTCCATTCAAATGGTCACTATAATTACTATTACCTTTAATTACTATTACCTTAATTAAAAATTTAATGAAAATTTGCATTCATATTATATAATTTAACTAGAACTTTTGATTAAATGCGATTTTTGCAATAATTTAAAGGCATCTGAAATTTTATAGTTTTTTCTTGAATCGTACGGTTGGCATTTACCCCTTCCCACGTCGTCTTACAAGTCACTGTATGCATAAATAATAATAAATGTGTAACAAAAAAAATGATAACCACCAAAAGAAGCTGAAGAAAGAACGAGAAATTTTTGCAATGATGAAAATGCAGGAAATCCACTGCATACTCTTACCGACCTCGTTTATAATAAAAAAAAACTTTAATTTAGTTTAGAACTTTTTTAAGCCTTTTTTGTACGAATGTTTTTTGAGAGACTTGTGTCGGTTTATCAGCTAGAACCTTTTTTTTTCTATCTGTAATTGTGTACATAAAATATAAATATCTGAATTATGTTACCCACTAATCGAATGAATCTCTACCTGAAATTCGTCTATGGGCTCGCGAAATCTTCATAGGTTTTTATAAGGAATACATAATATAAATATAACAATATACCACTAAGCACTGTTTATAGTTTGCAAACGGTAGGTCAAAACAAAACGCAACCCATTTAGAAGTGTTACATTTTAAACGAAAAGAGCTTTTAAGATGTTTAGTTTAATAAATGTAATCGCATATAAAATATTTGCTGCTGATGACAAACAAAAAAAGACGTGAACTAGTATAGATGTATTACAATTTTGTAAACTTTTTTTTTGTGTTGCAATAAATTGACTGAATGTAAAGAAATCCAATTTAATAAAACCATATATAACTATATATAAATGCATACCTTAAACTGAGTGTCTAAATGTATATGAAAGTTGTAATAGATTTTAAATGTATATGTGTGCGTGCAGTAAGAGAAGAAGATCCGAAGTTAGCTAAGCTAATTTATTTGGTCTAGGAAATTTACTTCAAACTCAAATGGCTGACCAAGAACAGTAAAAGAACAAGGACAGCAACATGAGGTCGGACTTACATTCAATGTTTTTTCTGTAAAAGGAATGATAACGGCTTTGGACAGACTGTACTTGTATTCGAAGTTTGACAGTTATTAAAGTCTGTACATTTGTTATTTGACAGAATGATACCTTTAAGGCAAACTGTATTTCCAACTGTAAATCTTTCCATCTCCTTCAGTCATTTGAATTTGAAGGTGTTTTTTTTATAGCCATTTTTTTACGCAAAGAGGATATCGTTGCACACAGATAGACACCCACACAGACACACGAGCCTTGTCCGTCCTAACTGCTCTGTGTGTGCGAATAGGATGGCTATTTTATGTACTTACTTGCCGTTAGCTTTTTGCTCAAAGAAAACTATTAATGTTCGTTTGTTATATTTAATTTCAAGAAATAAAATGAGAATTGCTGACAATAAATAAGGAAATATGATTGCTTAGAGGAAATTGTAGTTTATTTGATGGTGGCGATGGAAAATCCCGCTTGCTCTCTAATAGCTAAGAGAATTAAAGGAAAAGAAAGTCAAACGTAATATAAAGGCGAAAAGTTTATATAAATGTGTTTTTTTGAGGACACAATCATAAAACTATCCAGTTTTGTGATTAAGCCCGTATTCAATGTGTGAACTATAATAAAAAAAATATATAAATGTGAAACGTAAACTATTTTTGCTAGCTTTTAAGATGCATTTTTTTCTCAAAATTACGCTTGTATGTATGTAATAACTATCTTAATACACATGTATTATATATTATATTGTACATTTTTTTGTTGTGTGTGGAATTGCTGCAGTTAGGACAGGAATCCAGACACCAATGTTGAGAAACTAACGATCTACTTGCAGCTGACAGACAATCAGAGTTTAAAGGAACTTAAAATTACACTATATTGCAAGCCACCCCGTATTCCCAAAATGATTAAACCATTGACCTCTAAATCCATCAAACCAAACGTATTTAGCCAATTGTAATCCACGAAAATAGGTAACTGTACGCTGCAAAGATCCAAAATGAAAACGTATTAATTCTAATTAAAACACATTTTCTGTGCGCAGTTTGTAGCCTAAGAAAATTGTACAATATTGTATTGATAACGACATCCCGGCAAAAGATTAACGATGAATCAAAAATATATATATAAATATATCTATGAAATTATACTGTACAAGAAAAAAATAAATCAACTGAGGAAACAATAAAAGTTAAACATAAATGTAAAATCATGCAACCGAAAAAGTAGTATTTATTACTTCTTATTTGAGTGGGAAATCTTTTAGGCTTGCAATTTAATATATTTTCCTAAAATTCTCTGTTCCGATAATTAATGCACCATTTAGAAAAAGTATCAACCCAGAAAACACAGAATCCCGAATAGCTGACCATCTCGGCTGAAAGCTTACAAAGAACGCTGGGACTGCGGTCCATCGTTGGATGAATAGGTATCCAATATCCCCAATTAACGACGATGATCTGGAGACCCGATCGATACACACAGACATGCACACAAACAACAGGAAGTTTTCATAGATATGATGCCATAACACACTTTAATATCTTGATTGGTTATCTTTTTTTGGTTGCTTGTTTTTGGTTTTGCTAGTATTTGACTTAGTTTGTGTTGGTTTTGATGTTTTATTTTAAAAGAAATCTTACATTTCTCGATTCAATAAAAAAGATGTTGAGTTTTTGATTTTGAATAGCAAGTTGTTGGGCGAATAAGCTAAGATATCATAACTACTTAGTTCATTCTTTTACTTTTATTAAAATTGTTTGGCTTTGGTATTTAAATGTAGTGTTTGTTTTTACGAAAAGTGGTGAAGGAAAGTGGTGCGCGAGGGCGGGCCCAGAGTGTGGATTGGTCTATTCCTCCTCTTCCTCTTCCTCTTCTTCCTCCTCCTCCTCTTCCTCCTCCTCTTCCTCTTCCTCCTCCTCTTCCTCCTCCTCCTCCTCCTCATCCTCCTCGGCCTCCTCATCTTCCTCCTCGACGACCTCCTCCTCGACCTCCTCATCATCCTCGACGATGTCCTCATCGGCCTTGGCGTCCTCCTCGCCTTCGGGTGTCTCGGGCTCACCGGCCTTCTTGCCTGGTCGTTCGCCGAACCACTTTGGCAGTTTGGCTATAGATTACAAGTATTGGTACAATTAGCATATCGCTGGTATGAATCGAAATTAAAGAAATCGAAATTGAACGACAGGAAACAGAAAAAATTAAAATATACACAGCACGACAATGAACAAATTAATGAATGTTGTTCTGTTGTTGTCGTCCCTTTTAAGGGGTACAGTTGAACCCCAATTTGTTCCTCCATAACTCGCTACATAACTCGCATCTGATCTAAAGTACATACATTTTTGACGGCCGGTGTATTGCTCCTTCTTCTCGTTCCAGATCTTCTCGTTAGAGTCCTTGGAGATCTCATCCCAGCCCTGTGTGTTACAGTGTTGTGTACGTGTGTTGGTGTGTGATTTTATGAGCACAGTTGACAATTATGAAAAATGGTACATGAAACATAGAAAGAGATAAAAAGAGAGTTGACGTTAGGTGCTTTATTGGTTGTCAGCCGCCCAGAAAGACCACAAAATAACCCAGTTTCCTGTCAATTGTATTAACGACCCAACCTTTTGACGTTACTCTACTTTCGATAGTGCTCCAAACTTTTACTAGCTTTCCAAATACCCAGACATTACTTTCGATAGTTTTTGACGTGACTGTACTTTTAGTAGTGTTTGAACCACCTCAGCCGTTGAACATGACTGTACTTCCGGTGGTAGTGATACGAACAAAAAACATAGTTTATGATAAAAACATAAAACAATAGATAGATAGATACAGAAGAAGAGAGACACGTAGACGTGAATGTTTCAGCGGACGCTTACATTTTGTGCGCTGAGTGAATCTTTCCTGTCTTTCTTGCCAGGTCTTTTCTAAGGTTTCCGCATAGACCGTATTATAGCCCTAAATGTGCGTAATATTGATACAGTTTTACAAAGAGGCAACCCACAAAAATACCCAAAAATAGTTAGCTTTATAACGGAAAACCAAATACTTACACCCTCGAAGAGCTTCTTCTTGTCGTCATAAGAGCGGGTGTCCACACGTCGCTCATACTTGGAGGCGACTTGAATCTTGGGCTGTAGGGAAAGTACCACGTTAGCTATGTGAGCTAGGGATCAGACCCTGTACGGTTAACTTACCGGGTATTTGCCAGTCAAAGCTTCTGGGTCGAGACCCTTCTTCAAGGCTTTGTGCCTGAGCTGTTGCTTCTGTCTTTCCTTCAACTCTTTCAACTGTCAATGGAGATGGCTGTCAGTAATTATGATCTCCAGAGAATTTGATTATAGGCCAAAGCCAAGTTTTACTCACATCGTAGTCCTGACGTTTCTGCCTTTCTTCCAAGTCATACTTCTCAGTTTCCAATTTGACAATGAGCTCCCACAGCTCCTGGGCCTTCTCGCGCAGCTTAGCCTCGCCGAATCCTTCGATGGCCAAGGGCTTGATGCGGAACGACAGCGAGATCTTCTTCTCTTCCTCCAACTGTTCCTTAGTCTTGTTGCGTTCCATGGCGGCGGACGAGAGTCCCAACTATTTTTTGTTTCATGTGGCGAGTTTTTTTTTTTTGTTCGATTCGAATTTCGCGCAGGATGCGTTTTAATATTTGTTTTTAGTTTTGTTTTGCATAGCAGACACATTTCGTTGTGTTTTTATATATAGGTATATATATATTTTTTTTTTTGAGATTTTTGAGATTTGATTTTTGGTACGTGCGGTACAAACGTGGTGAGAGACGAACAGTGAGAGAGAATAGACACACACAGAGAAAAGAGCGCAAAACAAAGTGATATTTTTTGTTTGTTCGTGTTTGGTGTGTGTACATGCGTGTGTTTGTTTGTTTTGTTTGTTGTGTAAAAGAAAAAAGAAAACAAAAAAAATGTTTTGTTGTTTCAGTTTCACATTACAGTGTAGTGTTTTAAAGGCATATTTTAAGCGATCGATATGAACACAGACGATTAACGATTGAGAAATGTCAAAATGATCAATTTATGCAATCACAAATGATCGATAATGAATTTTTGCATCAAATACAAGGGAATAACGGTTGTGAATGATCGATGTAGTCAAAAATACAAACGATTGCCGATTGTGGATGATCGATTCGGGCGCAACACAAACAATTAAGGATTACAAATGATCGATGAATTCAAAAACCGACGATTAGGACGATTGATGTTCGATGGACACGACGGGTGACAAAAGAGGAGTTGATATGGAATTGATTTGGAATCAAAAATAAAATAAAACGAACGAAAAAGAAGAAAACAAAAACAGGAAGAGAGAGAGAGAGACAAATGGGGGGAGGTGGGAAGACGGAGGCGTATCAGCAACCGGCATTGATGAAATCTCATATAATTACCACGCCTGCATCCTTCTTGGCAATGGTGAAGTTGGGGCCCTTCTTGTCCTTGTCCTTCATGGCCTGCAGCATAGCCTGGCGCTTCTTTTCGGCCTCCTCGAGACGCATGCGCTTCTCCTCAATCTCGCGCTGCTTCTTCTCCTCAGCCTCACGGACACGGCGCTCCTCCTCCTCTTTCTTGCGCTGGGCCATCTTTTGCTCCTCCTCGGCGCGGGTGACCTTGCGCTTGGCCTGCTTCTCCTTCAGCTTCTTCAGCTCATCCTCCTCCTTGGATCTCTGTTTGCGCCACTCGGTGATGTATTCTTTCAGCTGATCATCGAGGTCGGAGCGCTTCTGGTCCTGACGCTTGATGAACTCTGGGTCGCCCTCTCCTCTGATGATCGTTACGATAAGGGAGGGGTGCGGGAATGAGAAATAACTCGATTAGTTTAATCTGCCAGGACGTGATCTATTTTTTCGATAGCCACTAGTACTACGAGTAATGTCTAGGCACTAAAATTAATTACAGAATTTTGACGGAATTTCTAACGGCCTGTTTTTTTGTTTGGTGATTATATTTAGATTATTTGGTTCGATTTGTTTCCGAAAATCAAAGTTGTTTTTACAATTAGTATCCACCAAAGGGCTGATGTGAGAAAGCATTAGATAACTACATTCTACGTATGGCAATACTACTACTCTAGTTATAAAAAAAAAAAACAGAAACAGAACAGAAACACACCAAAAAAGATAGGGGATTGCTTCGATGGCACTGGAGTGGTGAGTTGTGGTGAGTAAGAGTTTGTGTTGAGTATTGCTTGCTACAGAGGTACAGTTTACACCTTAGAAACTATTTTATTTATTTTTATTATTATTTATTTTTTTTTTTTTAATTTTGGTTTTGAGTGGTTTACTGGACACGCACAGGCGGATTAATCGGGGACGATCTTAAGATAACTCTAAGGGTTTAGTCTTGGTTAGCGTTCTGGTTTCATTTGTTGTTCACATTTGTTTTTTGTACATAGACTTACTCGGCTGGTGTCTGAGGTGGTTTTCTATACGTGAGGCATTGAGGTGGCAACAAACATGGAGGTGGTGATATTTTTATTTATATATATATATTGGTTTTGTGTTTCAAAAATTGACAAATTCACGATGGTTTCGATTGATTGATTGATTGATATTTGTTGTGGGTTTCGGTTCGAAAAGTTCATACAAAATGCGATTGTTTTCGTTATTTCAGTTTTCAAACAAAAAGGAACGTTGAAAAGAAAGAGAAAAACGGTTGGTTGTTTTAAAAAATTCATTTGCAAAATATATTGGTTTGTTTGTTGTTTTATTTTTGGTAAACGGAATGAAAGAAGAAGATAAGATGGATAATATATATAGAGAGATATTTGCATAAAAGGTTGAAAAGAATAATTAATTTTGTAATGGTAGGTACGTAATTGTTTTTGGTTTGGTTTTGTTTGTTGTTTTCTGGTTGGTTGTTGTTCTAAAGAAAACTCAAAAATGATTCCAAGCAACGAATCTTTATACAGTATGAACTGGAACTGGTACTGGAGCTGGTTCTGGAACTGGAACTGGTTCTCTGATGCATATGGAGCAGAAATGCACACACAAAAACTTGAAATTTTTTTCAATTTGTTTCAGAAATTGGCAAACGAGCATATAATTTTGGGGCCAGGCAAAGAGTAATTTAGGAAAAAAAAACTTTTATACAGATATGTAGGATCTTTATAGGTCTTTCATTCTTCGTTTCATTGGTTTCTCACACAATTTACTTACTTCCTGCAACAAGAACGAGATCAAAAAGAGATGGAAGAGAGAAAGAGAG